GCTTTCATGTGCCTTTCATTTTCTTTTTAAAATCAAGTTTCTAGTCCATAAGACTGAAACAGACAGAGCTGAAATCATCTGAATACAGAAGTTTGACAGTTCTATTTTAAAAATGGTACCTGCAAAAGATAGAAGGTTATGGTGAAGTTACCGAGATGAAAATAAATAGAGAAAAGACGAAATTGCTGGTGAAAAATCTTACATTGGAGCAGAAAATGACCTTGATGGAACAAGTAGATCTTCAAATTGTTAAAAAGGTTAAATATCTGGGAATTCTTCTTACAGCTAAATGTACTACATTGAAAGAAGATAATTATGTTAAACTATTTAAGGAAACTAAGAGTGATCTGGAAAAATGGGCTAATTTGCAATTATCATTGTTGGGAAGAATAGCAATAGTCAACACGAATATATTACTAAAGCTCTTATTTTTATTATTCCAAACAATTCCCATAAAAATTGATAAAACATTTTGACGATCTAAACACTCAGATTTTGAGATTTGTATGGCAAAAGAAGTAACCAAGGATTAAATTGAAAATGCTTCAGGAGGCCAAAGGGAATGGGGGCTTTGACCTTCCTGACTGGATGTTGTATTATCAAGCTTCTGTCTTCATGTGGCTAAAAGAATGGATAACCTTAAGGAATAAGAGAATCCTTTATCTCGAAGGGCATGATCTACAAATGGGTTGGCACGCTTATAGGTGGTATGAGAAGTGTAAGACACATGGCTGTTTCTTAAATCATTATATTAGAAAGTCATTCATGTCGGTGTGGGAAAAATTAAAGACAAAGCTGTATATTAAGTTGCCGAGATGGCTTTCCTCTATGGAAGCTCTTGTATATCCAAATGCATTGAATTTTGATACAATTGTGAGATAAGATGATATTTTGGATAATGATGAAAGATTGAAATCGAATCAAGAATTACAAAAGCAGGGTATTGATAGCTCTTGGTGGCATAAGGTTCAAATACAACTGAGATATTTTAAAGATTATAAAATGAGTGTTTTTTATAAGGAATTAACATTTGATCAATTGATTTTAAAATCAGATGAAAAAATGATTAAAAGACTGTATAATTTTCTTTTGGATATGAGAATGGAAGATGAACAAGTTAAGGAAACTATGATAACATGGGCACAAAATTTTGGATAAAATATTGAGTTACAGAAATGGCAAAAGTTGTGGGAAAGAAATATTAAGGTAACCTTAGCAACCTCATATAAAGAAAATCTTTATAAAATGTTTCATTGATGGTATTTATTGCCAAATAGATTAGCAAAAATGTTTCCAAATATGTCAAATGGATGTTGGAAATGCAAACATAAACCTGGTACTTTTTAGCATATGTGGTGGACTTGTGATAAGACAAAAAAATACTGGGCTAAAATACATACATGGCTTGAGGAAATGTTACAAAAATCTTTAATGTCTGAACCTGAAGTTTTCCTGTTAGGCATTGTGCCTGATGTCGACAAGCAAGCAGCGTATCTGGTTCTACACGTAATCACTGCGGCAAGGATTGTGTTTGCCCCACATTGGAGGAGTGAAGAACCACCTTCTGCTGAACTGACTTTTAAAGAGATCCTGGATTGGGCTGAAATGGACAGGCTGACTTTGTCTCTGAAGGAGAAAGAGGATACATGCTTCTGTCAAACTTGGAACTCCTTCTATTATTGGCTAGAGAAACGGGACTATGCGTAGATCTGAATAGGGCTATGGATTGTTATAAATAAAAAAAAAAAAATGGGGGGCTGACCCAGTATGTCTGATGTCTTTGATGATTGATCCTTTTAGTTTTTTAGTTTGTTGAAAATAACAATAAAGCTTATTTTTTAAAAAATAAAAAGTGTACCTGCAGCCTTAGCAACAAGTGAGCTACTGAGTGCTCTTTTGATTTGGGAGAAAGAACACATTTTGACAACACATAAGCAAAATCATCTCAGCCACCGAGACATCTCAGGTAGCCAGGAAATTCAGGGCTGGAAAGCACGGGAAGATTGCAAAGGGACCAGGGCAGCCTCCAGAGCCCCTGCGACATCCCGCGAGCGACTCAGCACGGTTCCTGGACACCCTGCCCAGAAGCACCCACCGCAGCTCGTGCCCCAGGCGCGGGAGAAGCGCCACCGAGCGCAACTGGAGGTGCGGGAAAGCAGATCTGCAACTCTCAGGAAGGCCTCCTCCGACCGAGAGAGCCGAGGTGACTCACGTGCCTTAAAGGCTTCCTGTCGGGGCACCTGCTTCCCCACCTGCGGGGGAGACCTGCAGCTTCCCCAAGACCCCAAGGGAAATGCAGGGCCAGGCAGGGCAAGACCGGCGCTGGCCAGAGTCGGTGGCTGTGGAACATCTGCTGACATGGCTGCAGGCACCCCATTTGTCCTCCGGGTTGCTATCTGCCCTTTTTGAAATGCAAGCCACACGGGGCAATTCCTACACGGAAGAAAGGCCCCGGGCAGCACAAGCCCAAGCCAGCCCAGCTCAGCATCCTCCCTCAGCAGCAGTCAGCCAGTGCATGCCGGGCCTGAAGGGGGCTGCCACGAGGGGCTCTGAGCCGCGAGGGCTAGCACGGCCTCCCTGCTCAGGGTCTCTGCCTGCCAGGTCCTGGGGAGAGAAGCAGAAGGGGGACACCGCCCTCATGCGCTGCTCCTGGGCCCCCCGCACGGGTTGGCTCCTGTCCGGCCAAGGTGAGAAGCCGGGGCTGGGCTAGAGGCCCTCTGGCCCAGTTTCCGGGCTCTCCGCGCCTTCCCACTTGTGTGTCCCAGACGGGCGGCGGTCTGTGCGGAGGCTCCACGGAGCTCCAGGGCAGCAGACCGGCCGGGCTGCCGGCTGCCTCGGTGTCCCCGGGGCCGGGGGCAGGACGCCTCCTTTCGTCTGCGTCTGTCCGTGCGGCTTCTGCGCCTGCTGCTATCAGCTCAAGCCACGCCTCAGCTGTGACAGACGCAGATAAGCCGCCTGCCCAGGGACCCCGCGGGCCTCTGGGACTGGCCTGGAACGCCGGGGAAGCGCACCCAGCAGCGTCAGTGGCACGCAGGCGGCCCTGATGCCTTCCGAGGTCCTGCTCCAGCCCCCCTCCCAGACGGAACAGCCCTGCTGCCGGCCGAGGGGGCAGCACCGAAGGAGCACTTGGCGTGCTGGGCCTGTTCTGGAGCGGGAGGAGGCAGGAAGCCCTCCTTGGGGCCCACGTCCAGAGGAAGCTGCCCCCCCCCCCACAGGGGTGGGGAAAATGCTCGGATCCAGGCGGGGAGCAAAGGGCCACAGGCTTGCATCTGAGGGCGTTTGCCTTTTCTTTCTGAAGTGATGGGGGGGCAAGTCTTGGTGCCCAGCTCAGCCCCCACTCCTCACTGGCCTGGCTGAAGAGGAAAAGGATCCAGCAGTGCCCAGCCCAGGCGGCCAGACTTCCGTCCTTCCCTCCCCTTGGAGAAGGCTCTGGGAAGGAAGCAGCTTGCAAACCAGGGCAGAGAAATCTTTGCAGCGCTTCCCCACTGTTGTTTTCACTTTTGCTGCTCTCCCCAGCCAGCCGGGGCCTGTACAGCCTCCACAGCCAGGGAGCTGGTGCGCCACGGGCATGCGCATTGCCTGGCCCCTCCCAGAGCCTCAAATAAGGCCAGAAAGGGCTGGCTCTTCCGTTTCTAGCAGCCGCTCCCGGCATGGCCTGCCTGCCAGCGCCGCCCCCTGCAGCCAGCCCCCCGCAGGGCCCGTGCCACAGACGTGGGAAGACACGTGCAGCGGCGGCAACGGCGGCTCCAAGCGGGGTGTGGGTGTGTGCTGGGCGCACGTGGGCAAAGCTGCTTGCTTTGGGCAAGCAGCCGCTCAGGTACGCAACCCACGCGTGCGAGACTCTGCGCGTGCTGCACGCCGGCTGGCCATGGTGGGAAAGCTGCCCGCTGCGAGCAAGGGCAGCACCCTGGGGGCCCAGGGGATCCTTCCGGGGGCCACCTGGACCTTCAGGGCTCCCTGCGGGGCTTTCTCAAGACCCAGGCCGTCCTTCCTGCATGGGATCCCCGCAGAAAACCTCTGCCCGGAGCACGGAGAAGAGGTCTCCCTGGGGAAGAGGGAGCCCCTCCAAGGCTGCACCTTGGCTCAGCAGGGCTTCCCCGTGCATGCCCACAATGGCATCCGACAGGAATTCCTCTGTTCCCAGGAACAAAGAATCCGCTGAACCTGCTCTTTAGCCTGGTCCCTCCTGGGAGCCACGCTGTGCTCCCAGCCAAGGCTACCCAGATGGGGAGAGGCGCCTGGCACTGGCTAAGCATGACCCTTGGATGCCCTGGCCAGAGCAAGACCCCCTGCCTTTCACCTGCAGCCAACCCCCTCCGCCAGCCTTGGCTTTGGGCTGCCAGGACTCCTGGATCCCCAGGCCCTTCCCACGCCAGGGCACAGGAGCTGCTTCGCAGGCGCTCTCCCTGGCGCAGCCGTGTCCACTCGGAGTGGCAGCAGTTTTCCCCACTCCCAGGGGCCCCTCTCACTCGCCTCACGCTAGCTGAACGGGGACGGCTCTGGGGTTTCGGCGTGCCAGGCAGAGACCCGTGGGCCCCACCTCCGCCCGGCCTGCACTCCCCTCACCTGCCTTTCCACTGGCCATGTCTAGGAGGCCACACCCGGCTCCTGGCCAGGCTTGGGCTGGGAGGGCCACGGGCTTCAGGAGGCCAAGGCAGGCTCTCTGGCTTCAGGCGCTGGTGGGTGCGGTCCTGGTGGCTTCCCTGGAAATGGGGCAAGGAGCAGCCCTGCGGCGCCTGCACCTGCCGCTTGCTGTGTGCACGCACCTGGCAGCTCACCCGCGTCCACGCAGCCCGGCGGCAGGAGCTCCCGCGCTGTGCCGAACGAACGAACGAACGAACGCAAGCTCGCCCCTTGGGCCCGGGGCGCGCCTGCCGCGGCTCCTTCCGGCCACGGGCGGCTCCTGGCCAGCCCCCTTGGCCCTCCCCAGAGGACCGAGCGCGACGTCCCACCCAGCTGCCGCCGCTCCTGGCTGGCGCCCCGCGCCCAGGCAAGCTCACCCGCTGTGGAAGAAGAGCAGGATGGAGAGCAGCGTCTGGTCGATGTTGCGGTTGCAGACGCCCTGGTTCAGGAGGTAGCAGGGGTCCCGCACCACCGGCTCCAGGGAGTCCTGGCACAGGAGGTGGCTCAGCTTGTCCGCGTTGAAGTCCTGGCAGAGCAGCCGCTCCCGCAGCTGCAGGAAGGGGCTGGGGCCGGTGCCCCGCGGGCTGCCCGGGGGGTTGTTGTTGAAGCCCAGGGGGCTCTCCGGGCCGCCGCGGTTGGCCAGGTCCAGGCAGCAGCTGCAGCAGTCCAGCCCCACGGGGGAGAGGCACTCCTCCGCAGGGGCGGGCATCCCGGGCCCCGCCAGGGCGCCGCCGGTGGGGCCGGCAGCCGACTTCGGGCGCTCCGCCGCGGGCAGACGGGCTCCTTCCACGCGGGGCACGGCGGGGCGGCGGGACTCCGCTCGGCAGGGAGCCTTGCGCGCCCCCGGACCGGCCGCCTGCCGCGCGCTGCCTCGCTGGCACGGCCGGGCGGCTCCGCGGCCGCCTGCCCTGCCCGCCCCGGAGCGC